AAGAAATATTTGTCTGATGATGTTTGAGAATGAAGTTTATATATGTGTGGGTGCCTGGTCCACTTAATACAGACATCCCTGCCAGCAGCTTTAGACTTAAGATTGAAGTGCTCTATCTTTCCAATGTCCAGCCAGCTTTCCTAACTTAAACAACTTCAAACAGCCATAAGAATTTCAAATCATACTGAAAGGCATATAGAGTACTCTCTGTAGTTTCTGCTTAAGGTGATGAAAATATGTGGAAGTAGATAACAGTGATGCTTGCACAACATTTTGAATGTAAGTATTGCCACCGAACTGTACACTTAAAAAGTAGTTCATTCACTAATAGAGAATGGAGTTCTCTATTAGTTGCGGGCTCAATCCCCAGTAGGGGGGCGTGCAAGCGGCAGCCAATCAATGATTCTCATCATTGATGTTTCTGTCTCTCTCTACCTCTCCTTTCCTCTCTGAAATCAATAAAAATATATTTTTAAATAGTTAATTAAAATGGCAAATTTTATGTTATGTTTATTTTACCACAATTTTTAAAATCAATAATGTTATATATGAAAAACCATTACACATTTTAAGTGGGTGACTTGTATGGTATATGAAGTGGTTTTCAAGGAAGTGGTTTTAAAAAAAAAAGTGTGGGTGGGGGAGAGTACTCTGAAAAAAACTTTAATGCTCTCTCCACGGCTTGTATATATGTTAGGTCATATCAGAAAACTTAAACTGTAATTGTCTTATTTTTCAGAAAAATCAAAATTCTTTCGAGTTTTCTTTTTTGTAGGGTTCTGAGAAAGTAATAAGGTAGGGTGTTTTTTTTTTTAAGATTTTGTTTGAAAGGGTACAAGACAAATACAGCTTCAGCATTGTATTAAAGCAATCCCACATAGAATATTCCCAGATAAAATGGAGTTCTCTATTAGTCCTTAGTTTTTCTCTTTTCTTTTTCTAAAAGCACGGAAGTGAATGGTGAATATTTCCTACAAGAAATGCTGAGCTGGTTAATTTCTAATAATTATAAAATCACGGGTGGTCACTAGTTCAAAGAAAAGCTTTCCCAAATAAAACCCAAGTATGAGCAGAGACTTTAACTGTGTCCCTTTATCCACTGCCAAAATGTAGTATCAATAGAACAGAATGTGAAAGCCGCAGCTTTGATATGAAAGGTACTGAAAGTATTCATCTTTTGGTAGTTGTTCTGCCACCATATGGAATCAAATAAAAGGAAAGAGAATTATGCAGCATCAACTTGAATTATGCAATTGCAGAAAGGGAAAGGCAAATCATTACCAGATGCATCTCTGCATACATTTTATTATAATTTTTTTTCTTTGCTATCACCAGGCACCCAATGCACTCTACTGGCAGGGTGAAGTTATTGAAAATAATACAAAAGAAAATTTTAAAGTAACATT